GGGTTCGCAATGAATCGTGAGGTAATCAATGGCAATCTCTCTCTAGGGAATTCGTGTGGCTTGATCAAATGGTTTGACTAACTCGTCTCGAAAATGGCTCGGCATCAAAAATTTGGACAACAGTTTGGACAATGGCTCGTCTTCTCCCAACCACACACAATGTGGACCTACATACACCAAAGGAGACGCGAAAATATTGAAAAAATACAAGAACACATAACACAAATGAAAACACATGAAATACGACAAAATGGACCGATTGACACTCGAACAAACCTAAAAATGACTAGACTCGAGCACATAAAACACAATAAAATACCACAAAAACATAACAAACAGTTGGCTGTGGGTCAAGCATCGAGGGTCCGACCATGTGGCCTATGCGAGACAGTGGATCACACTACCGAGGATTGTCCATGGACAGTGAACACGACGGAGGCCCATGCCAATGCAGTTGGGGCAAACAATGGTGTCGGACGCAACTACGACCCATTCTCAAACACTTATAATCCGGGGTGGCGAGATCACCCGCATTTGAGGTGGGGAAACAATAGCGACAACCAATTTGGGGAGCAAGACCGAAGGCAACCCCAAAACTTTCAAAGGGGACAAGGCTTTCAAAGGTACCAAGGCACGGGGGAGCACAACACTCATCCCCCACCGAATGAATCATCTTCAGATATGAGGAAGCTGATGGAGAGCATGGCGTCCAGCCTTAAGAACTTGGAGGGGCAAGTGACCTCATTGTCGAGTCATGTGAATCGATTGGAGTCGCAAGTGAACTCCAAACTACCGTCTCAAGCTGAAATTAATCTGAAAAATGTCAGCGCCATAAAGTTGAGAAGTGGCAAGGAGCTTTCAGCTCCTGAGGGTCCCATTCCATCGAAGAAAGATGCGACCGAGAAAGAAGATGGCGAGAATACTAAAGATTCTGTTGTTATCGCCCCCCTGATAACAGAACTGCTGGAGCCAAAATGAAGAAAAAGGCCATCGAAACCGATCCGAGATGGGCTGTACCTTTGCCGTTTCCATCGAGAATCAAGAAGCAACAGAAAGATGATGCCGGGAAGAAGATCTTAGACGTTTTTAGAAAGGTCGAGGTCAATATTCCCTTAATCGACGCCATAAAGCAAGTTCCAAAATATGCGAAGTTTTTGAAGGACTTGTGCACGCATAAGAGGCGGTTGAAGGGGGACGAGAAGGTGATAATGAGCGAGAATGTATCAGCCGTGTTCCAGAAAAGCTTGCCACAAAAGAGGAGTGATCCAGGTATGTTTTTCATCCCTTGTGTAATCGGGAATTTAAAAATAGAACGAGCTATGTTAGATTTGGGTGCTTCGATAAATGTTATGCCTCGTTCTATCTTTAATTCTCTGAAATTGGGTCATTTGAAACAAACTGGGGTCGTTATCCAACTCGCTGATCGTAATACCACTTATCACGACGGTGTTGTTGAGGATGTTTTTGTGAAAGTTAATGATCTTGTGTTTCCAGCTGATTTTTATGTGTTGAACATGGATGACAAGTCCTCAAACTCCACCCCAATTTTATTGGGAAGACCATTTTTGAACACAGCCCAAACCATGATTGATGTTCGACAGGGCACTCTTACGATGGAGTTTGATGGACATGTCATCAAGTTCAATATCTTTGATACTATGAAATATCCTGATGATTGTGATGACTCTGTTTATATGCTTGATGTTATTGACCCTTTAGCACAGGAATATATGGAGACTTATGGTCGAAACGATGAGTTAGAGGTGGTGATCTCCTCGAGCATAGGGTGCGACAAACTGTTATTGCCCCCCCTGATAGCAGAAGTTGACGGGGGCGATTTTCGAGATCGAGCCAAAAAATTGAAGGAGATCGTCATGGATGTGCATGAGAAAGGACCTGTTCCTCCTAGGTATGATGCTAATTTTAAATGATCAGAATCTAATCGAAAATGTTCGTCATCTATTGCGCAGGCTCCGAAGCTCGAATTGGAATCTTTACCGACACATGATAAGAGGATCTTGAAGAAGCGTGGTGATGCAAGGTTTGTGCCTCCTTTGAGGCCACCTCTGAATCCGCCATGGAGAGCTTGAAGAAAAGGGAAGTAATAAGTCGAGCCAACGACAATAAAAAAAGGCGCTAGTTGGGAGGCAACCCAATATTTGTTTGTTTTTTTTTTATATTAGTATTAGTATTTTCATTAGTTCAATTTTATCTCTACGGCTGAATATTTCTTTCAGGATAGCAGCGACACGGACCTTGTGGTGATGGAGCAATGTAATTTTGAGCTAAACGTCGAAGAGAATCTTCAACATGACAAAATGGAGCAAAACTGTACTGTTACCGCCTCCCCCGATAACTGGTCGAGGAGGAATTTTCTACTGCTACCGCCTCTCCCGATAACAGCCCACTTGAAGATCCGGTAGAGCACCCGAGTTGCTCCGACGAGTCGAGGAGAGACGAAGGACTCACAGCAGCAGCGAGCAAAGAGGACCACCCGTTGATGATCTGGTGATTTCGATTCCCTTATGTGCTCTATATAGAGATTAAGTTTGGGGAGGTTTTGTTGACGGGTGTAGTTGTTTCATTTTTCTATGCATATATGTTTGCTTGGTTTGCTTTTTGATTGGTTATAGTCATATCTGGTAGTTATTTTTATTGTCTAGCTGCTTTTAGTTGAGAAGAAAAAAAATATGTGATTGAGTTTCAGTGTCGTATGTGGAATTTCGCCATGATGAATTGAGAGTCTTTTGGAATTAATTGCTAGTTATGATGACTTGGATTGATTACTTCTGGTTAAAAATCTTGACGTGTCGTCATTTGAGGGATAAAGGCATGATAGTTGACATTTATGTGTTTTGTTTGTAGTAAGTCCATCTTGAACTGTTTATATTCTTGAAATGTGCTGGTGACTATTCTGCTTGATGTTGATTGTGTGAGGTAACTTGACGTGTGTTGTTATGTGGTTTCTAACAACGATGTAATTGGTGATTAAGTGGATAATTGTGAATGATTTGGACGTAAAGCGTGTAAGATTTACTCAATAATGGCCCCGGTCCGAGGTGAACCGAGGTGAAGAGCCGTGATGGGCTTTTACGTGTTGCTTAATCAAATTTTTTCAGTTCGGAGAGAGATCCCCGTACAAATGTCATGGGCCCGCTATTTATAGTAATTTCGGGTTGATACATTGGGATCTGTGCATTACTTTTTCGAATAAAGTTACTTTTTGTGGGCGGTTTGAGGCGGGGGGTCCCACATAAATGATGATGGATCTTGTGGAGCAGGAGGGTTGTTCGTAGGCACCTTGTCACCTGCTTAAGGAGGTGACGATCTCGGTTCCATGTTGACCTCGGTAGACGTTGACCTCGGTAGACGTTGACCTCGGTAGTCGTTGACCACTTTGGTATTCGGTAGTTCGGTCCGGTTTGTTGTCTGAACCGGGGTGGTATTTGAAATTACGTCGGTTCAATGACTATCTGCCTTTTAATGTGTCATTTGGAATCTCTTGATGCAGGTTTACCGATCCGGATGATAACAGAGAGGCCCCCAACATCGATGGGCATACGGAGTGATGGTCGTTGATGTTGCAATGCCAGGTATTGAGAGACCCCGGATCGATAAGAAGTCGGCAGTAGGATGTGGTCTATGATCTTCGGAGGGTCATCTTCGGTCTATCTACCGATGTAACCGAAGTGAATCATCTGTTCGAAGTGTAGACTGTATGCCGAGGTGAAGACACTTGGTGAATTTCGAAACATTTTCAGGCAGTTGTGACAGAGAAAGCGAACAGTCGTAACGGTCAGCCATTTGATGTTTAGACCGAACGGTCGCGCCGTAATGGCCTTAAATGAGGTAACGGTCGACTTTAATAGGTTGCCACGTGTAACGGTAGGTGTCTGAGGGTGTTGTGGAGGATTGGTTTACCACTTTTTTGTCAGTGAAGTCACCATATATGTCATCAAGGATTGAAATGCCAGAGAATGCGAGAGATGCTGCTCGGGTCCCGTTGATGGTTTGGGACCCCAAATCCGAAGTGGGGGTCTCTTCTTTATCCAGTGTTGACAGGCTGAGCTACGCCAAGGCATGTGTTGGCAGGGCCTTGGTTAGCTTAGTGGCGGCCGAGGATGATCATCGTCGGGTCGCATCCCAATTGGAAGGGAAAAGGGACGTCTTAGCCGCGCGCGACATGGTGATCGTTCAGTTGAAGGAGGAATCGGCTAAAATGGAGGCCGACTTGATGGGCCAAATTGCTGAGAAGGTAGCTGAGCGATGACTTACGCCTTACCATGGCATTACTCTACCACTGAGAAGGCGAAAGCTGAGGCTGTGACATTGTCTGATGAGAAGAAGGCCTATGAGGCCGAAGTGGCGGATCTCAAGGCGCGCTTGGCCGCGGTGGAGCAGCACTTCAAAACTTCCGAAGTCAAACTGATGG